GCATCCCATCTCCGGCCGTGACGTGGGCGCAGGGGCCCTCTTCGGCCCGCCCGAGAGCGTCTCGATCCGAGAACCGCCGTCAGCCCGATTGACTGTACGCGACTCAGTCCTGCTCCCGCTTCCTTGACTCACTCATCCACCCAGCCGACGTCGGCTCGGCCCAGCGCCCCTGCAGCCATTGACCACCACGTCTTCCCTCCATTGCTTAGTACTGTACATGATCTTAGGCTCCCATCTGACCGTCGTCACTCAACACCGGCTGACCCGCTCCGTACCTCATTACGTATCAGATATTGGTCCGAACTCTCCGCGCACCCGCGCGCACCCAACCATACTGTAGTAGAAAAATACAGTCCTTTCATTTTGTGATCTTGTACAACTTCTAAGCCACGCATGCCCATCTGTCTATCCACCGTGCACCTCCCGCACCGCGCCTCGCTCTTAGTCCCGAAACCCGCGCATGCGCTTGCACTTGCGCTTGCACTTGCACTTGCACCTGCCGCCGACGGCGCTAAAGCACCGTTCCGAGCCTAAACTCACGCGCACGCGACCGAAAGAACAAACAACACATAGATTAGGACACGTTCACGACGCGGAGGGAGAGCGCGCGTAGAGCAGCGGCACCGCGACCGCCGCCCCGAGCACGAGCGCTGCAAGCGCGTACGCGCCCCAGCCGCGCTGCGGCGGCTTTGCCGTGACTTTCTCACGGCGCCGCGGCGAGGGACGGCGCGGTGCTGGGATAGTGATGAGCTGTACGTACCCGATCGATTTGAGACCCAGGATGCTACACGGCGTCAGCACGCGTCGAATGGACGCAAAGGGAGAAGACGCACTAGTACCCCTCGAGGTTCCTGCGCAGCTCATCCTCCATACCCGTCGGAACACCCTCGAGCGTGAACGTGACAGTCGTCGAATCCGTCGCCTGCGCCAGCCGCGTCGTGAGCGTCGCCTCGTGTCCTACGTACCGTCAAACACAGTAGCACCGAACAGGACGTCGCGCGTACCGGCCGGCCAGCTCGGGCTCGATAGCGTCCACGTCTGCTTGATCTCCTTCGGCGCGGAGACCGCGACGTACTTGCCCTTCACGCCGCCGCCAAACAGCACATATTCCGCGCCTGGCTGCGGATCCGACTGTGTGCCCGTCCGTCAGCACCGCGCCCGGCTGCGAGAGGTGTGCGCGCACCTTCGCTGCGGCGCGCGACCACGCCGGGATGCGCTTCTCGTCCGTCAGAATCGAGAACAAGTCCGCCGCCGACGCCGCGAACGTCGCCTCGACCTCGACGACGCCCGTATTAACAACGTCTTCCTTGGTCTTCTGCTTCACCGCGGACTCCTGCTTCACCGACGGCACTGTCTGCGCCTCAGGCACAGGCGTCCCACCACGGCTGGGATCGTCGCCGACGATCATCTCTCGTCCGTGCGTCTCGATGAGCGCTGCGGGGAAGCGCGCGAGCACGGCCTCGAGCGCAGCCGGTAGGCGCGAGCGAGCGAGCGCGAGCAGCTCGGCGGGCCCGGACGTCTGCGTGAAGTTCCAGACGAAGTCTGAGAGCTGGTCAAGGATGATGTCGTGCGAGACTTCTGGGATCGTCAAGCGCCCCGTCGCCTCGGCGCCGTCTGCGCCTGTGCCGCTCCACTCCAGCACGAGCTTGCAGTCGAAGATCGTGATGAGCCTGCGCGCGGTGTGAGCGTCCGATACCGAGAATATGCTCCAGCTAGAGAAAATAAGTGAGAGTGTGAAAGGGAGACGCACTTGGACTTGCGGCGCCCGAGCTCGACGTCGCCGTCGCACTCGATCACCCGCGCGATGGACACGCGCGTATCTGGTGCGTCGCCGTCGACGGCAATAGCCACGAGCTCACGCTCGAACCAGCCTTTCGCCCACGGCGTCACGTTCTTGTTCTTCCAGTGCCAATTGGCAGTGCTGAACGCCATCGGTGCCGGGCTCGCCATAGTCGCTTCACAGTATTAGAGTACCCTGTTCAAACCTAGATCTAGTTTAAGCTTGAAAGGCTGGATGAGGATAGATGAGAAGCAGAGCGTTGGAACAGGTATCGAGGACCAGGAGGAACGAAGAAACGAGAAGAACTAGACAGCACGGGGTCTGGCGCGTACTTGACTTTATGATGCATGGCGCGTGGCGCGCCAGAAAGTTCTCGTCTTTTCCTTACACGTCGCGGCTGCCCCGACATCACTAGCTGATCCAGCGCACAAGCCGCGGAAGCATCCGTCCACAGTAGAAAAGCCGAAATCGTGATGATACATGCCCTAGGCATATCGTACAGACTTCTGGTATGGTACAAGTGCTGCGAGACACGAATGATTGCCATAACACCCGCCCAAAACCCTTTCAATGCTTTTGCGCCTCATTCTGAGCCTGTCCCTCGTCCTCTGCATCCTTCTCGACCTTCCTCTTGCGCAGTAATACGAAGCTGCCCTGCGTCTCGTCCGCGGGCGTCGCTTCGATGTTACCTGGGATCACACCACGGTTCTCCGGATGCAGACGCTTCCGCTCCGCACGCGTCTCCTCGAGCTCGCGCATCAGAACGCCGGCGCCATGCGGGCTCCAGTATGATGTACCGGCGAGCGTCGCAATGATGCATGTTCCAACGAGGATCGAGAGGTAGAACCGATACTGAGAATACCATTTCGGCGCTGAATAGACTCGTCAGCTTTACGGACCCCTGTACGCAAAGTTGCTGCACTCACTCCAGCCGAACGTCGTCGCCTTCAGGTCGGCATACCACAGTCCCGTGAAGCCGACCCACTGCAGGATCAGCGCGAGCGACGGCTCAAACGCGAGGGTCGACCAGGCCCATACAACGGGGGCGGCACCGAGCATGAGGCGCGAATACCCTTTGTGCCCACCGTAGCCGGAGAACTCCATACCCCAATGCAGCGCGCCGAGGAAAGAGAGCATGACCGCGCCATACGTCGCCTGGAACATCAACGCTTGGTCGAGCACAGTGAGCGCGACGCCAGGATCGATATTCGTAGCAAGGCCCATCGTCGCGTAGCCGGCCTGGCGCGCGAGGTGGATCGAGGTCAGCGCGGAGCCAAGGTAGGGAATGCCGCCGGCGAGGCCCATGACGATGTACGGTGTTGGGACGGCGCTCGCGACGGAGCTGGTTACACCGAGCTGCAATGACATGGCCTTAGCAATGTGGCGGGATGACGTAGCGCGCGGACGGTGCTCACAAAGGTTTCGTTCATAGGTTTTACGGAATCGACGGGGAGATTTCCACCGGCAATGGCCTTGGCCATGTCGCGTGCAGCATCGCCGACCTCCTCTTTGATATTCTGGCCAGCATGTTGGAAGGTCTGGGAACCGGGACGGCTGGAAACGGTCGAAGCTGCGCTGCGTGCGAACACGAGGCGGAGGACAGGGGATTGTAGCGGTCTGACCGCAGGTACGATAGGAACTCGGGAGAGGCGAGAGTAAGGAGCGCGAAGGGAGAATGAGGCGCTCCGAAGGGGCGCGGCGGCGCGTAGGGAAGAACGAGAGACAGAGAGGAAGCTCATGAGTGGGTGAGACATACGGTTGGGAACGGGGACGAGGAGAGACTAGCGTATTTGTATGACCGAAAATGGTGGCGTATTTGGAGTCCTGACGTCGACGAGGAAGCCCCATGACGAATGTCCCCGTGCTCGCCATCCCTTCGATCATCCCTGCTTGCCAGCCTTATTCTGACCGCGGGATCGCAGAGACAGTCAATTGAATCCAGGCGCGCATTCGCCTCGATGTCTCAAAGTCAAAATCCTCTTCCTCCAAGTTTCTTCGTCGTGACGTCACCTACCTCTGCTGCAGTTTTCTGACAGTTTCGCCCATGCCCCTTCTTTTTCGGCCTTCAGTGAGCGGTGAATTTGGCCTGTATTAGAAAATAGGAACAGCGGACTTCACATACAACAGAAGCCCAGCCCCGCTCATGATACGTCGTGCGCACTAACGAGCATAGTCCTTCCGTTCGGCCGCACGGATCGTCGCATAGGGTCTCTCGATAACGGTTTTCGCATGTCTTCCGGTACTTTCAGCGATGTACAAAGTCCTGAGCGGAAAGAACGTACCAAACGCATCCTCTTCGTCCGCTCCGCCCGCTCCTCGTCCCAAGCTCCCATAATACTCGCGCACGCGGCGGTACACGCTGTACCCGAAGCCCTCGTACATCGATATCGCGATTTGGTTCTCGCATCGTACGTAGAGGTCAACGAACAGTCCGCGGTACACGTCGTCTGACACGCGCTCAAGGAATTTCATCATGCTTGCCGCGAGGCCTAGACGCCGATACTCTGGTGCGACAGTGATAGCAGTAACATGGCCATGCCAGTCTTCCCGGCCGCCCTCCGCCTTGCCGAGCACTGCAGGATAAGAGGTGAGGGAAATCGCGTGAGGAAATGGACGTTGGGAGAAGAGAGGTAGACGCACCATAGCCCATAATCTTACCGTCCGGTGTCTCCTGGACGGAGCACATGTCCGGCCATCGCGAGAGGTAGTGCAGATAGAACGAGATACCATACTAGCTCGTCTCTTCAGAAAACGGGTACACCAACGTCCGTGCGTACGCACGGTCTCGGTCCAGATGTCTAGGTTCCTGCGCTCGCGTCAAATCGGAGCGGGAGAGGAAACATGAAGAAAGACGAACACGTTGTTGAACTTGAACTGGTCTGTTGCACGGAAGGGCCGGATGATGGACATACTTTCTCAGGGGAGCGTCGAGTAAGCTGGACAGGTGGAGAAGGTAGATACTTTCCCTCGTCACAGGCCGGGACTGGCTACTGGCGGCACGCGTCGACGCGATCACGTGGTATTGTCGCGCCTACGCGTCATAGCGCTCCTCCCCCGGGATGCTAGTCGGAACGAGCTTCTGGGCAAGATAAAATAGCATACATCCATAATTGATGTCTTTCTTACACACAGAAATGCACTCAGACGTCATGGAACATTTCTGGGTTCGGTCGACGTTGTCTTTGACATGCCTTCCAGGCCAACCCGAGCAAAAGAGACTAGCCCACCGCCGGGGTCGAACCGGCAGCCTTCAGATTATCCATGGTATTGGCTTAACCCGCCATAAGAGTCTGACGCTCTATCCGATTGAGCTAGGCGGGCGACAAATGTCTGCCGCAAATTTGAGCCATAACCGATGAAATTTTAACGACCTCCGCTTATCGGCTATTCCTACCGCCCTAACCCCACAATATATGGTAGACTAAACTTTGAAGGACTGATAGAGCCATTGAAGATCCCCGGAAATTAACCCGCGGATACTGTACGACCCCAGCCCTTGCAGAATCTTAGTAGTACTGTACATCTAGTTCCTAGACTTCTCGTCTTCGAGAGGATTAGTAGGAGAGTAATGGAAGAACTATGATACACGGTGTGGCGCAGAAAACATGATACATGGCATCAGAAGTACTCAGGCAAGAACCAGTCAGAAGTTCTCCGATATATCGGCAAAATGTAGCAGCTTCGCTAGCTTTCTCATCTTCATTGGTCTGGGATTTTGGTCCGTTTCGGCGATAAGCAGACCAGCACTAAGATCCGGCACCTCGTCCACGCAGACAGCAGGCGTCCGAGTCGACTCGATTGAATCAACCGGTTGTCCGTGAGTCGCTCCAAGCTCGGAAATATCATCCCCGAGGTCTAGTAAAGGAATGTTGACATCGAGTGGCTTGTAGTCGCTCGCCTCAATGAAGGTAGGATGCTGAGAAATGCATTATGAGCGCAAGCAAGCCCGTCTGGCGAACAAGTCGTACCTCGATGAACCTCCGCACGCTGTCGTCATCCGAGAAGTGCGTCGCCTGTTTCTGGTTGCTATTTTTCAGCTCCGAACGGCGAGAGACAATGAGTTCTTCCGGAGTTCCTCGTATGACCAGTGTTTTCACTGTCATGTATGTTAACACATATATCGTACCTATAAGTAAGGTTAGCACATACCACTAATTGACTGCTTCTGGCCGATACGATGGGCGCGCTAGCAAAAAGAGCATCAGCATTATGGGCCATCGCACTAGACCATGACATGCCTTAATTGCTTGAGCTTCCACGTCCGCCTGCCAGACTGGTTCGCAGAAGATGATACGCGAAGCCGAGACGAGATTCCTGGATACATCAGTCGTCTTGCAGTCGAACGTGAGATTACATAAACGTACAATCCATGAGAACCGTGCTTGAGCTCCATGAGGAATACACGGTACGTGTCAGACGTCTCGAATGTTGTCACGGCTTGCTGCCGGTTCTCAACCTTCATCTCTCCCGTATATGAGATGAACTTCACACGAGCGAGAGCCAGGGCATCAGCAATGTGTGCCAGCGTCAGCTGAGACTTGGAAAAGATCAAGAATTTCTCCGTAGGACTGTAGTTCGAGACCTAATAAACAGCATAAGTCATACATCATTCCACCTCTGAAGATCGGCACACCTCGGACAGGATAAAATTGAGCTTGGAAGATCTCGAGCGTAGAATACGTGCTTTGCTTAAAACACTCGATCGCAGCATCCTTTTGCGTGCGTCCGACGATGCATTCGCGGCCGTCGCGGCGGCGATGTCTTGTCCCAAGTCGCCTCTACTATTTGAGGCCCACTCCAATGACGCATTCATCTCGCGCCGCAACTCGCTAATCTTTTCGGGAGCCTCAGCGGCTTTGGCAGCTTCCTGCGCTTTAGCACCCTCTCGGCCCATATTGTCTCCACCGCTGCCCTTGCCTCCTTTTTTCCCGCTCCCTTTCCTTCTGGCGGCGCGATCAAAGAGTTGGTTGCGGCTTTCGTCTTCCATCGCCTGGATATGACCTGCGTGGACCAAGTCGCCAAGAGAGATGAGAGGCCGACTGGACACACAAGCGGCGAGTTTCGAGAGTCGCCAAGGGAACATGATGCTGTGCTGCAGCTCGGTGGATTGTTGGGGAGATCGCCGTTCCATCTCAGCCCATGCTTCGAGGAGGGGTGGTGGGATCCCATCTACATCGAATGCCATTTCTGGTATAGGAACAGTTTGTACAATTGCCCACGTCTTATCTGCCTTTGCGTTCGCCCTAAAGTAGCATATCAGGATACAGAGTGGCGAGAGGCCGCAGGCACGAAAGTGTAACCTACACGTGCCGGACAGCCTGCTTGAGAAGGATCATATCGGATTCCGAGATGTTGCGCTCCTTGGCTCGCGTGAGCATACCTTCTAAGTTGTGAGAAAGCTCGTCGACGTTGTAACGATTCTCGTCAACACGCCAAAACATGAGCCTAGAAATCATTGGACGACGGGCAGCTAGATGTCATAAGAGAGTCCGCACTGCGACATGTTCTCGACAACTTCCCGGAGGAAAGCGACATTCTATTTCGTACGTCAGGCCAAATGCAGTATTGCCATATGTTCTCTCTCTCACCCTTTTGTGAAACAAGTAGTCCTGTGAACCTGGGCGTAAGGACGGCTGTCTGGTCTTTCTGAAGAGTGAACATACCTGATCAACGCGCTCGGAGTCAACAGCATTGGTGATGACAACAGCCTGGAGTGCATTATAAGATGTGCGCATGATCGGATCCATGTCGAGAACGACGGTTTCTTCGTAGAGAGGAGGCAGCAAAACCTCTCTCTCAACATCTTCTATCCTACGAGCCAATCAGTTACTTTGTCCCACAGAAATCTCAAAGCCGACCTGTGTCGAATCATAACGCTATTCATGAGCTGCCTGAGAACAGAGATAGCACCGGGCTGAGGTCCAGTACGGTTGAACAGACCGTCCATGACATGCGTCTTGAAGAGCTGATGATCCATGACAAAACGCTCATCCCTCAGAAATGAAGCAATCATCGTGTGCAACCGCCGAAGGTCCTCCCGATCCAAGGTCGTCCACACCCTTGACGTTACTGTATCACTGTCTATAGCCTCGACAGAGGTCGATGGCGAGGGTGGATACTGCAAGACAAGCTCGTCCTCGTCTTGCTCTTCTTCGAGCGAGTTTGCCTCCATATCATCCCCATGCGCCCCAAAGTTAAGACCGAGGAGCATTTTCGTAGGTGTCCCAGATACGAGCCACCGCCGCTCGACGTTGATCTTTGCAGCGATACCACTAATGCGAGTGTCGGCAGTGCCGTGGACATGGCCTTCGTCCACGACAAGCCGCTTCCAGCGGATCTGTGTGAGCGGGGATACGTTCTTGCGGTTCGCGCAGGTACAGACCGGTACACGAACATGTTTTGGATGCGGGCAGTCGCACAACGTCCAACTATGCAGGGATTCGAGCTTGAAGCGGGGCTCCTCGCGAGCAAAGCCTCACAGGGGATGTCATCAAGACTAGCAACACACATACACGGCTGTGACTCACGGGCATGACTGAGAAGTATGATCTGTACTGATAATCAGTTCCATCATCAGACGGCAAGAGTCAGCACTGGAGGCTACAGACATCGTATTCCGACGCCATGTCGAGTACCGAAGGAAAGTCATCGTGATCTCGGACTACAAGGAAACGTATCGTGCTCGACACATGCTTGTGTATTTCAGAAACCCATTGTGCAACCAAGTTTGGCGGAACAACAACGAGGGTTGCGGTAGTTAGATACACGACGCGCGGCCCGGGATCATGGGGTTTTCCTCGGCCACGGACCGGCTGGACGATGTCTTTATATTGTAGATAAAACGGCACGTTCCGTCGGATGGCCTGAGTGAGACTCGGTCGCTGTTCAAGTATGTTCTGAAGTTGGCGCCTCTTTGCCGGGTTGAGCCGTATAAAATGGATCATAGTCTCAAGGAGGGTTGGGAATGCCTCATCCGTCGGGTGCAGCGCTGGTCGCTTCGCTCGCTGTCGGGCAGCGTCGTAGCCGGGACCCCGGAAAAGACGAAAGGAAAGAGGGGTGAGGACGATGGGATTAGAGAACGACGGTTCAGGGGAGGGTAACTGATCTAGCGTTGACAGTATGGTGGCAAGTGTCATTACAGTCTTTCCCGTACCTAATCAGTGTTCCAGAAAGTGCTCATGTCAGCTTGAGACGGAGACTGACCTAGCTCTTCGCACAATATGCCTCCGCGAGGTCGAGATACCTGAGGTCGCTCTCTGAGTATTTCTAACGTCGACGGTTGGATGAAGACTGTCGTGCCATCGTAACTAGTGATCGGCAAGAAGAGAGGATCAGGGATGGAAACCCCTGCCATCTCGTGATACAACATTGAAGATACTGTTTCGCGTTGGTATTTATGCAAGGAGGACTGCAGGCCGTTTATCTTGTCTGGGAATTGTACACCAGTGGGGTCGTTTTGAGACGATAGGAGAGACATGGGAGAATCGAGCTCGGCATAAATATCGGCCAGGGTACGCGTGTCCTATATTTCACCTTCGATGAGGGTGCTTGTCCTCTGAGCTAAGCGACGTACCGGTCTTGTATCGAGGATGCCCGTTTTTGTGCATCCAGACGCAGGGCAGGGCTCGGCACGCCATTCATGCGGGCAGTGAGACAGCAAGGGTAAGATAGTTCGGAAAAGAGGGCGTGATTTTTTCAAGATTATTTCATCTCGTTGGCGTAGCCTACCACGAACACCGGATAGATCGTATGGGACAATGTAGATTCGAAAAAATAGAAGATGGGAATGCTGAGAGAGTTTGCACCGAATGCGGATGAAATCGTGCTGGAGTAAAAAATTGAGGTGTTCTACTGCTCGCTCATCTCGGGCACTGTTCTCGAGGTTGTTTAGTATATGCTCATATGCGAAATCATGCCAGCCGTCGTCAAGATGGGTGTGGCCGCAAGTGAGCTCACTCCAGGGACATCCCCGCAGCCCGAGTGCAAGAGACCCCGCAGGAAAAAGGTGGCGAGATGCAAATGGATCAGCATCCGTCAGCCGAGAAGGACCCGCTAGGCGACATTGGTCGCAACAGGAGAGACAGACAGTATTCGCAGCCATGAAAGTATAAAGAGCCAAGGGTGTTGGACAGGTACGTGGGAGGATATGCCGAACAGGACTGGAAAAGACGTGAACAGCTTTATCGGGCGCGAGACATGGGAGTATGTGCGTGATGGTGATAGCGAGATACTAGGAACTTGCCGCCCGCTTGTCCCTGAATGAAGAGTGAAATATACTCCTGAACATTCGTCTGCTTGGACGTCCTCATGCAGCTTTCGTC